ACTCCCCACCACTCTCTGGGCCTGGCCCTCCAGCCAGTTCCTAACCCAGCACAGAGTGCCCCTGCCCAACAAGCCTTGGGCTGCCAGCTTTTCCAGGAGTATGCTGTGGGAGACGGTGTCAAAGGCTTTGCTGAAGTCCAGGTAGACACATCCACAGCCTTCCCCTCATCCACCAGGTGGGTCACCTGCCCATAAAAGGAGATCAGGTTGGTCGGACAGGACCTGCCCTTCCTAAACCCGTGCTGGCTGGGTCTGATCCCTTGTCCATCCTGTAGGTGTTGTGTGATTGCACTGAGAATGATCTGCTCCATAACCTTGCCAGGCACTGAGGTCAGGCTGACAGGCCTGTAGTTTCCTGGATCTTGCTTCCAGCCCTTCTTGTAGATTGGCATCACATTATTCAGCTCCCTGTTGCTGTCTACCAGCCCAGAAAGCCAGCTGTCCTGAGGGCAACCTTTCATCTTGTTGAAAACTGAGGCAATGTGTTAAGTACCTCAGCCTTATCCTCATCTTTAGTGGCTATGTTCCTCTCTGTGTCCGACAAAGAATGGAAGTTTTCCTTGCCCCTCCTTTTGCTATTGATGTATTTATAAAAACACTTTTTGTTGTCCTTAACAGAATTGGACAGATTAAGTTCAAATTATGCTTTTGCCTCTCTAATTTTCTTTCTACATGACCTAACTACATTCCTAAACACTTCATGAGTTGTCCACCCTTTTTTCCAAAGGTGATAGATTCTCTTTTTTGCCCTAATTTCCTGCAAAATCTCCCTATTCAGCCAGGCCGGTCGTCTCTCCCACCAGCTCACCTTTTGGCACACTGGGACAGCCTGCTCCTGTGCCTTCAAGATTTCTTTCTTGAAGTATGCCCATCCTTCCTGGACCCCTTTGTTTTTAAGGGCTGTTTCCAAGGCACTCTCCAAAACAGCTTCCTGAATACGCCAAAGTCTGCCCTCTGGAAGTCCAGGGTAGAGGTTTTGTTGTTTGTTGCTTACCTTCACAGAGTATTGAAAACTCTATCATTTTGTGGTCACTGTATCCCAGATGGTCTCCAACTACCACATCTCCCATCAGCCCCTTTCTGTTTGTAAACAGCAGGTCTAATGGGGCCCCAGCCCTGGCAGTTTTATTTATAAGCTGCAACGGGAAATTATCCTCTACGCACTCTAGAAATCTCCTAGATTGTCTCTTCTCTGCTGTGTTGAGTTCCCAGCAGATGTCCGGCAGGTTAAAGTCACCCACAAAAACAAGCGTTGGTGATTTTGAAACCTCTGCCAGCTGCTTGTATAATAATTCATCACCCCCTTCATCCCTGTTGGCCTTTTTGGCCTTCCTCCTGATTCTGACCCATAAGCACTCAACCTTATTGTCTCTGACCTCAAGTTCTACAGAGTCAAGAGACTCTCTAACATATAGAGACACTTTTACACCTCTCCTACCTTGCCTATCTTTTCTGAAAAGCACGTAGTCACCCATTGCAGCATTCCAGTCATGTGAATCATCCCTCCATGTTTCCATGATGGTGCTTACATCACAGCTTTCCTGCTGCACGATGGCTTCCAGCTCCTCTTTCTTGTTTCCCAAACTGCATGCATTAGTGTACATGTACTTCAGCTGGGCTGCTCATATCACTCCTAACCCTGGCTTTCCACCCCTAGGTTCTTCTCTGGAGAGCCTGACTTCAACACCTTTCCCCTTCAAAACTAGTTTAAAGCCCTCTTGACCAGCCCTGCCAATTTATATGCTAGGGTTCTTTTGTCCTTGCTTGATAGATGAAGCTCCTCTAACTCCAGTAGGCTTGGTACCATAAATGTGGTCCCATGATTAAAAAAATTCCACTGGTGGCACCAATCCTTTAGCCACTTATTGATAAAATGGGTTTTCCTATTCCTCCCCTTGTTCCTCCCTGCTACTGCAGGAATTGAAGCTAACACCACCTATGCTCCTGTTGTATCAACTAATCAACCCAAAGCCTTAAAGTCCTTTTTAATTGCCCTGGTACCTCTTTTATCGATCTCATCACTGTCAACCTGTACTACCAACAGTGGGTAATAATCAGAGGGATTAATTAGCTCAGGGAGTCTCCTGCTAAAATCCCTCACCCTGGCCCCAGGAGGGCAGCAGACTTCCCTGTGGGATGAGTCTGGTCAGCATACAGGGCCCTCAGTTCAGAAGGGAATCACCTTCTGAAGGGATATGATAAACAATAGGAAGAAAAGAAGGAGTTGAGTAACAAGGAGCAAAGCAAATGTTTACTCTATCACTGCTGGAATGGACAAGATAAAAAAATACTTCTCCAGACTTCTGGAGAGTGAAAGGGTTATGGGAGAACAACCAGTGAGCCTCGGAAATAGATCCACATCCTTGGAAAGTAAAAATGAGAATAATTCAGCTGAGTGACTGACTAAAATACTGGAAGAAATTGTAAAATCAATTTGAGTCTGTGACAGACAGTCCAAAGGTGATACATCTCCCCTTACTTTAGGTATTTACAGTACTGACATCTACATATGTCCAATTTGTCTTCCTTTACATCTAATTAAGAGAATTGGGTACTTCTATGGTATCTTGTCTATTTGAGGTATTTTTTTAGTATGTAGTGAATTATCACTGCATATGCCATTCCCTGTCAGCAAGACACATAATACAGTTACCGCCATTGCTGTAGAGGACTATGTGCAGCTGTCTCATAGTTGGCAAGGTAAATTCAATCCTCTGAATCCAAGAACGGTAAAATTTGCCTTCTGAGGGAGACATGGAAAAAAATTCTTGTTCCTTTTTGCAAAACTTGGATTCTTTGGGGAATTGTTTTAATTACAGCAGACTGATCTAATTTCTGATCTGTAGAAGGACAAATTCAGGCCTCAGGACTTAACTCTTCAATTACCCTGGTACCAATATAAAAAGCACAGCTCTACCTTTCAATAATTAAAACCATAGCTACTCTTCTGCCAGGTTTCCTTGGTACAAGTGAGATCTGCTGGATTACCAGGCTGAGAATTTCAGCCAATGTCATTGGCAAGCTGCTGTTTTAAATAGACAGTTGCTTCTTCCAATATAACATTTTCATACTAGAGTCAAATAGCCTTTGAAGGGAAAACCCATTTTCCTAATTCTAACAGACTAAATATTTTCACTTTTCAACTTACATTGTTGGTCTTCACATTTTTTATAGCACGAGGGCTTCAGTCTCAATTATTCTTCAAAAGGTCAACTGTAATTCTTATAAGTTCTTTGAATTGTATTCCATAATTTATTCACACTGAGAATTGCTTCTTTTCTTATGAACTTCAAATTGATGAGCTAAACAAATTCATACAACTTTACCTTGCACAAGGTACTGCCTTTCTAATGTGTATCCAAGTGGAAAATGTAGTAGTCAGGGAAGAGGTGCATGGTCATTCTGCTACAGATAAGATCTAAAATAAAACTTTGTAAGCCCCTGTAAGCCTAACACATGAGGTAATATCCTTTTAAAGAGGCTCTCAGAAATTGTTTTCATACGAAACCTTTTGCTTTCAAGTTTGATTTGAACCTCTGGAGTTTTCTGCTTATTGCTGGTAATATTCAGCTTCTTTAGTTGGTTGAAATTTTCTCACAGGTTGCATTCTCTGCAGCTCACAGATGTAGTGCAATATACTCTACCTCTTTCATGTCACGAAAAGATTGTGCCACCAAACAGGGTAGCAGTTATCTGTTTGCCCTCATTTTCCAGAGCACAGCACGGCACAATTTTAGCTTAGCAAAGAGTTTCCTAGGCATGGCTACCAACTGCAGCAGTCAGACCTTCCCATTCTTCACAAGATTTCAGGCTTCCAGCAGACAAGTCATAGCATCACTCAAAAGCACATCAGGTTTGCACTCAAGAGAGTTATTTCTAATTGGGCCACAATGAAACTGCTGGCCTTTCTAGAAGGAAGGATTAAGAAGACTGCTCTGAGAGAAAGAGGTAAGTCTACACTGATCAACCTGCTGCCAGCAGTCCCACTTATAAATTGCATCCATCAAGGAGCAATGGTACTACTCTTCTTCGGCATCTTTTCTCGTCTCATCTGTGAAATCTTCAAGTGATCCATTCTGTTATTTTCTAGGCAAAAATGGCACTAGAAGGTGAATAAACTCTTATACAGCCTATGTCAAACCACTCTGTTGTGTTGCCTTGTGTCTCACTAAACCTTTGCTCCCTCTCTTAAAAAGTATTATGTAAAAAAACCAACCAAACAAACCCAGATAAAAATGCTGATAGTACACTATCTGAAGTAAAGGTAGACACAAAATCATAACCTGCTAATTTGTGTCAGATTGGAGGCTGTTGTGAACATAAAGTCTTTCAGTCTATTAGTAAAATGAAATCCCTCTTCTCAACTAAACTATTCTAATGGCAAAGCAGGGAAGAGTGTTTAAAAAAAAATAAAAATAAAAGACTCAGTATCAGCAGTAATTCTTCAGTGCCCCTCATGGAAACCATGCACTATCCTAGTTAATTTCATATGAGTTTGGCACAAAGTACTTGAAGGACTATCTTTCACCCCACCAATTCTGACACATTTTGCACTCTATTTTCTATTTTTTATGTGCTTATGAAGCAACCAGCCTATCCATGGATTCATATATTGATCTAGGCTCAGTGGTGCTGAGACATCAATTTACTAATCAGTGTCTGCTATGCTTTATATTACCTTCCAGTTCTCCTGCCATGCAGCAAAAATAGCTCAATTATTTCAGGAGCAGTACAGCAGGTGATATTATTCTGTATGGTGAATTGCTCCCTCCAAGGTGTTTAACAGCAATCATTTTCCCAAGCATTTTATTACAATCAAGTTTTTCTCTTTCAGGATGATTTGCAAAGTGGGAGTACGTTGAGTACAGAGGAAGGAGGGCCCGGTCAGAACTGCTTTCAGACCTCTAGAGACTGGAAAGGCTGAGAGATAAAGCTTGGAAAATTCAGACACGTCTCTAAATTAGCAAAACATTTTTGGATGGATGCACCTCTCTGCTCACCTGGCCTTCAGCAGGCACTCCTCCGAGAGCACTGCAGCATTCCTCTGCAGATCTGCTGCTGAGGGTTACTGCTTTAGGCTTCTACAATAGGACTGTAGCAAAGAGAGTAAGTTCAAAGCCAAGGCAGCAAGAAGGAAGAGAAAGAAAGGTCTTGCAGTGGTAGCATTTGTCTGAGATTTTGCTGGTCTGAACAGCAGAATAAGCTATCTGAAGAGCCTGCTGTGATCTTGAGTAAGTCACCAGTCCCCAGGATGCCCTCTTCCTTATGCAGACCAGATTGTGAGAGAAACTCATGTTGAAATTTACTAAGTCCCCTCATAATCTTCTCCCAAGAGCAAAAGTTAATTTGAGTTGACTCTAAAATCCTCTTCTTCCACTGTCTCTCCCCCCTTTTCTCTTTAATTTTGAAGTACATACTAACCAAAATAAGGTACAGATTAAAAAAGCTGTAAATTTCAAAATAATTTTTCTCAATGTTTTGTGAAAGAAGAACTAACATAATCATTTCAAAAATGTAAGAATTAAACACAGACTATCTTATTCCCCATTCTCTTGTTACCTATTATCACTGAAACCATGCAAAGTTTAAAAACTGTTTGAGAAACTCAAGAGAAATGCACTCTTTTGCATAAGTTAAGAATCTCAGCTTTTCACTTAGCTTAAACTAACTTGTTTCTGTCTCTCCTGAGGGATGAGAATGAGAAAAAAGAGAGATGGAAAAGTGTGGGTAAGGTACTCGTTATTTCAGAGGAGTCCTCCTATTGAACAGAAAGGAAGTGATGCTGGGTCTCTTGGTATATGGCGATTGGAGGAATGAAAGTAAAGTCAATCTGTCGATTACTTAGGCAGTGCTAAGAGCTTAGTAGGTGCAGGGTGAATATGTTTTCCCCTCTAGTAATTCTAACTTCACCATGTGCTGAAGAAGCATGTCAAAACCTAATGTGCACCTGTTAAGGGTTGCGTGCATCTTGCTCCAAACTGGCATAGATTTCCTATGAGAATACAATACTTCAAACAATTGCGTTCACCAGCAGTACCTTGGAACATCACTGTACCAACGCCCCAGATATCAGCTATGCTCAGTCATTTGAGATGAGAGGAGAAAGGTGGGAATGGCAAAACGAAGAATCTGTAGATGACAGGGTACCATCCTTTGCATAAGGAGGACAACACAAACTTGTCCTCATTCTTGGCACTCAAAAAGCAGATAAAAGAGGGATCCTGCAGCCAACCCTATTCTGACTTCTGGCAGCTTGATAAAAGCAGCTCAGCTTGGCAAATAATTTGTTTCATAGTTTTATATAAAAATGTTGAAAATGAGTCGCAAAAGATCATATCCTCGCAAAACCTAGCTCCAGATACTCACTTGCTTTAGAGTACCTGGGGCTAGAGTACCTGGAAGACGGGTCAAATAGACTGCCTCTAGCCTAATATAAACCTGCATGACACACCCTTAATAACAGAAAATGCAAACATCTATTAACAAATGCAAAATATTAAACAGAGTGTATCAGTTTGGAGATATACAGAAAAGGGGAAAGACTGCATAACTTGGGTTCAACTCAAAAATACCAGTATAACTCACTAAGTTTTCCTCTAGTGTTGAGGCATACATCTGGTGCAGGTAGCTCAGTGTGCAGATGCACTGCAAGCCTCAGGTTGAGTTCTGGGTAAGAGCTCGAGACAAGAGGCCATGAACTGCCGACCCTTTGCAGAACAAAGGGCAAAAAGACCGGGTGCCAAGTCAAGGGGTTGGACACTGAGAGGCACAGCAGGAGCCAAAGACTCCAGAGGAAGAGCAAGACTTGAGCTCATTTGGACTGTAAGGGTATAAAAGCTCAGGGGTTCTTTTGCTGGGGGTTGCTCCTCAGAGGCACCAGCTCAGGCTGTTTCAGTGTTACTGAGCCATGAATAAATTCCTTTATGGAACGAGATGTCTGAGACTCTGCTATGGGAAACCTGGGATCGAACTGGTACGGAAACCTGGTCTGACTGTGCGAGTGGGGTGTGTGGGGAGTTGAGCGAGGCCCTTGTGGGCTCACTGGAACCACTCATTGTGAAAGGACTCGATCTCAGCTGTGACAGTTTCTGATGGTGGGAGTGTGACTGCCAGACTGGTCCTGAATGGTCAGACTGGGAAGTTTCCTTAACACTGGCATCTGTCTTAGTGTCTCTTGTGTTTAATGAGATACATTAAGTTCCATGTTTCATCTGATTCACATGACATTTAGGACATTGGATATTCCATACTAACACATTTTAATTCACATATATTCAACAGATTTAGAGCTACTGTACCAGCAGGTTGACTCTTAAATCAAAGGGGAGACAACATTTCAGATTGCTGAAGAAATTGAAAAATATTTTTCCAGTTTGTTTTAGGCTTTGGTAAGGCTCTTCCAGCAGATTTGTTTCCCATCTCTCATGACATATTAAGCAAAAAAAACCAGATAGTTAAAGTAGTCCAGGTAAAGAGGACTGATGACTTGCACACTGCAGGGTAGGATTGATCTTTCTACCATTTGCATATCAGCTAGCTGAAGTATTATTTAACTGCATTCAGAAGATCTTTAAAGGTCACAAGTAATGGAAATATAGCAAAAGACAGTAACAACGACAGGGATATTTCTGACAAAAACAGTCAGCCACAGTAGATGCTTTCACAACCTTTTACTTTTCATTGCTCTAATATATACACACACACAAAAGAAGACTCAGTTGTCAATGCTGAAGTCAAGAGCAATGAGATTCAGGAGAGGACCCCTATGTTTCACATGCTGTTCTGTATCTATGAAACACTCAGAAGCAACAGGAGTTTCCACTGACTTTATAGAGAAGCATCGAAGGGAGCTTTCTTCTCACACTCCTTTTTTTCAATCTCATTGAAACCATCGGAACAATGACAGAAAGGTTTCTACAAAGCATCTCTTGACTGTTAAGCTTATTCTGAGCTATTCAGCACTAAAGATAGAGATGCAATGATAAAAAACCACAAAGTGGTTTTAAATTTAAAGAATCAACTAACAAAAAAAATGCCATTATAATAAAGTAAGAAGTGATGAAAGAAGGAAGAAGGATTGATTTTTTTTGAGTTATGCTGTCTTGGATTTTTCATCACACATCTCTCATTTCTGCTTTAACCGGGTGTACTTTAAAAAAGTGCACCAACAATTATGAATTACTATAACACATCAGGGGATCATCTACAACATTAAAATAAACCTTTTGTATATCAAACATTTAAACACAAATCTTCTAGAAGTCTTAAGTGTACTATTTACCATAATAAATATGAGAAGTAGCATGACATGCAAGGTAGTGAGGCCATCCATCTTTTTTTCTAGAATATCTGTTGTCAGTCCTGCATAACAACTTTATTATTGATCTGGGCATGGGAATCAAATGCACCCTCAGTCCATCTGCAGTTGGGTAGGAGTGTTGATCTGCTGGAGGCTCTGGAGAGGAATCTGGACAAACTGGATCTATCTTCTGGGGTCAACTGTATGAAGTTCAACAAGCATAGTTCCGAGTCCTGCTCTTGGGTCATAACATCCCTACACGATGCTACAGGCTGGGGGAAGAGTGGCTGGAAAGCAGCCCAGAGGAAAATGACATAGAGGTGCTGGTGAGCAGCCATCTGAATGTGAGCCAGCATTGTGCCCAGGTGGCCAAGAAGGCCAGTGGCATCCTGGCTTGTATCAGAAATAGTGTGGCCAGCAGGACTAGGATAGGGATCATCACCCTGTACTCAGCAGTGGTGAGGCCACACCTCAAATACTGTTTTGGACCCCTCACAACAAGAAGGGCATCATGAAGCTGAAGCGAGTCCAGAGAAGGAGGCGGGGAAGAATCTGAAGCACAAGTCTAATGAGGAGCGGCTGAGGGAGCTGGGGTTGTTTAGCCTGGAGAAAAGGAGACTCGGGGGAGGCCTTATCACTCTGTAGAACTACTTGAAAGGAGGTTACAGCAAGGGAGGGATCAGTCTATTCTTCCATTTTACATGTAACAGGAGAGGCACTGAGGGCATGGACCCAGTTGCTTGGGGTTCCAGGCAGCTGAATCAAGTTTATTGAGAACAACAGCATCTTATATATGCAGCTTGAACAGTAACAAACGATCCTCAACCAATCACATCCAAGTACTCCAAACAGCACGCGCAATGGTATATCAGGAACTACAACTCCCAGAATGCCCCTCCGCATTCTTCCTGTGACACAAACCACTACAGAGAGGAAATTACCTCCAGGTGCACTGGGGGGGAAGTGGGCGGGGTTTTAAATTGAATATTAGGAAAAATTTCTTCAAAAGGGTTGTCAATTCTGGAATGGATTGCCCAGGAAAATGGTTGAGTCACAAGCCCTGGAAGTATCTAAAAGATATGTTGATAAGGTGTTCAGGGATATGCTTCAGTGGGGGACATGGTTCTATATTAATGGTTGAATTTGATGATGTTAAAGGTCTTTTCGAACCTAACTGCTATGATTTTATGTGATAATGAAAAAATTAGATATAACCCAGGACTTCCCAAAGGCAAATGTGAAAAAGAACAGATGGGGAGACAAGTAGCCAATACCAATTTCTATTTAGTATGTTGTTGTCTACAACACTTTCACGAGGGGAAGCAAAGGGGCAGGCACCAATCTCTTCATTCTCATGACCAGTGACAGGACCCAAGGGTCAGCACAAAGCTGAGTCAGGAGAGGTTTAGGTTGGATGTCAGAAAAAGATTTTTCAGCCAGAGGGTAGTTGGGCACTAGAACAGGCTCCCCAGGGAAGTGGTCACAGCACCAACCCTGGCAGATTTCAAGAAGCATTTGGACACTGCTCTCAGGCACATGGTGTGACTTTTGGTGTGTCCTGTGCGGGGCCAGGAGTTGGACTTAATAATCCTGATAGGTGTCTTCCATCTCAGCATATTCTATGATACTACTTAACATGAGGTAATGATTTCCAATTATCACATGTAAAAATTTTTTTGTCACAGTGATTATATAATCTGTAGTATACATTTGGTTACATCAAATGAATATGATTTTTACCTATTCTGTTATATAAGCTGCTGTTATTCTCTACATGAAGATAGCAAGGGAAGAATGCAATAGCCTAGTTTTGTTTCTTCACACTTGAAAGTATGTGTACACAATAATTCCCATCAGGGGAACCTACGCACTTCTTCATAGTTAATGAAGTCTCCTGTCACAGTGCACGACTTTGTTTGAGAGTACCATTTGGAAAGAAACAGACTTGGTTTTGCAAATCTGCTTACCTATGGGTTTTATGTTAGTTTTCTATTTTCATTCTGTGACAATATGTGAATCATTTGCATATGTTTCCTGCATATATTTCATTGTAGTACAAGAATTTGCCATATTCCATCAAAACGCACATACTCAGCTTATTGTATGATTAAGCAGATGATTAAATTATTTAGATTCTGGTGGATTTTTTAAAATTTTTTAATTTCCCAGGTCATTTCTGTGAAGCAACACTTGCATCATTCTCCCTTTTATGCATTCATTCTCCCTTTTATTGACATCAAAGCTCACAGGGATGCTTATGTGTGAATAGATATATTCTGAGTATTTCTGAGTTTTGATCTGGTTAGTTATTGTTGTATACATGTGGAATCACATACAAGACTAAGTCAGATAAGATCAGTTAGATATGGTGTCTACAAATTCAACAACAGGTAGTGGGGCTTTCCCTGAAAAGCTAAATTCAGCTCAGATTACACTTCCTTAAGGGTGATGTATCCCAAGTACTTTCTAGTGTGGGAGAAAATGGTGGCATTCTCCACAAAACCAAGATTGAATATTTGTGAAATAGTGATGTAATAGTCAAGATAAATATCTACTGAGTCCTGTAGAACCATACACTAATTTTGAACTTAGTTCATGACACATTTTTCTATGCAAACTGCAGGATATTTAGTTTAAAACTAGACCATACTGGTTAAATGTAGTTTCAACTGAATTTAAAACAAGGAAACTAGGGTGCAAAACAGAAGCTCCATGAGGCAGAACAGAGGACAAACTCCTGTTCCTTGCAGCACAGATATGATTCCCTTCAAATTTTCATCTGTCTTGACAGTCTGTATCTCCCCAAATATAAAAGGTTCCTGAATTACACACAGGCAAGGAATTTACAATCTGATTGTCTGACAAATATATCGGGCTCAGTGTCAAATTACTGCACAGAATACAAGAGCCACTAAAGTTTCATTTAAAGACCTTGAAAAAGGGTAAGGGAAAGGTCACAGTGGAAGGGCAATTCTACATATCTATCCCTGTAGGATATTTTTACTCTTTGTTTGCCTCTCCCTGACACCAACACTCAAATTTACATGCAATCATTGGTGACAAAAAATATGCTTACTTCTTTTTAACCTTGGCAAGCCAGTAAAACAGACTGATTGGAAATAACAAGAGCATATACCCTGAAATGCTTCCTGCATCTCCTAGACAGAATCACTTATTTTTGTAATTAAGGCCTAGAACAAAATCTGGAACCCTGCTCATAGTTCTGTTAGACTATGGGACTGCCTGAAATTAAAAAATATACTTGATGAACTACAAAGCAAGCAGTGACTGTAAGAAATATTTCTTAACCACCTGTGGTTTTTTTCCCACCTTTGTCAACTTTTCTTACAAGTTCAGAGCTTTGGCTGTCATGGCTGGAATTAGGTCCTGACAGCTACCTTTATTACTGCAA